AACTCCTTTTCCCATATCTAAAACTTCTTTCTTCTCTTGTTCTTCATTTTTTCTCCAACAATCGATGAAGAAATTGCAGCCTCCCACCTCAAATTCGGTGACGCTCCAAATCCTTCTTCTCTCAAGCTGCTCCTTCCTTCTATTTTTTTCTTTTCTCGACCTCAAAATCGATGATGCTCCATATTGTCAAAGAGGGGACAGATCTAGGTGAGTTGAGTTTGCATCTTTTGTGTTTTAATATTTGTTTGTGAATTAATTCCGATCTTCTTCCTCTTCTTCTTTCTCTTTGCATTTGGTGTTCTTGATTGCGGAGGAGTAAATGAGAGGAGACAGAAGACGAATTTTTTTTTCTCTTCCTCCTTCTGTTTCCCCTTCTTTGAGAATATATATAGATATTACCACACTGTACCATATGGTAATGTGTGTTAACTAAATGTATTTTTATAGTCACGAGTTTTATCATGGTGGTAGTAGGTGGTAATCGACACCAGTTCCGACAAAGAAGAGTTAGAAGACAACGAAGGGAGAGAAGAAAGTGAAGAAAGCCGTAATTGTATATATATATATATTGATATTACCACACTATACCATATGGTAATGTGTTTATACCATATGGTAATGTGTCTATACCATATAGTAATGTGTAGTAATGAAATGTATTTTTATGAATATCATGTTTTTACTATGGTCGTAGAGGGTTGTAATTAGATTTACATGGTTTTACCTTCTCATACCATGTGGTATTATATGGTAATTATAATTAATTTGTGGTCATTTGATTTACCATGTTCTACTATAGTGGTATTGTATGCTAGTTAGATTTATAATTTTCTGTAGCGTGGTTTACCAAGTTATACCATGTGGTGGTAGTTTGATTTGTAATTTTATTTTAGCATGTTATACCATATTGTATGGTAATTAGATTTGTAAATTTCTGTAGCATGTTTTACCACGTTATACCATGTGGTATTGTATGATAGTTAGATTTTTAATTTTCTTCAACATATTTTACCATGCTTTACCATGTGGTATTGTATGGTAGTTAGAATTTTAATTTTCTTCAACATATTTTACCATGTTTTACCATGATAGTAGAAAGTGATAATCATATTTATATTTGTAATTAGTATCTTTAACAATATATTATTTAACGAAAAAATCATCATTCAATTTGAGCTGGAATTAGTTTAGAGATAGTTAGGATGGTTAGATTCATTTTTGTTGTAGATGGGAGAGAGAAGAAATAATGTATTTTTTTTAATAATAAAATAAAACAAAGAGTGAGAGAGAGGGGGAACCAGACAATCAGTGTGGGGTAGGGGAGTGGGATCCGCGTCTGGTCAAAAAGTCAGCGTCAGCGCGTCAGCGTCATCATTAAATAGGGGGTGCAATTTACCTTAGTGCCCCTCCGTGTTTAATTTAAATAAAAAGAAAAAGCTGACACGTGGGGACAGCTGATTGGATTACTGACAGTTAATGATAGCAAGGATACTGACCTGATCTGGTCCCGTATTTATCCACTCCTTTATAAAAGGCTTCCATGTTCACGTTTAGGTACCGGTCGGTCGCCTAGCTAGCGCGCGGTTACCTCATATCCCATAGTGAAGAAGGTCCATGTTTACCACATACCTCACCTCCCACAGTGATGGAGGTCCATGTCATATCGCGTTCAGGTGGTCTGCAGTTGCGCTAGTTAGGATGAGCACGGGGCCCCCTCTAAGCAAGTTAATGAAATAACTTTAATCATGCATATTCACGTATTTATTTTTTTAAGTTGTTGAGTAGCTATTATTGTTAAGATAAGTTGCACCTAGGACTAGGGGTGTACATGGGTCGGGTGGTTCGGGTTTAGCCATTTTAATCACCCGACCCATGCATTACTGTTTGAAAAATATCAAACCTAAACCCACCCAAAAAAATTTAAACCCTACGGTTTGTTTCTAATTGGGTTGGGTCGGGTTGGCGATATTTTTAAGTAAACCCAACCCAACCCAACATAAAATATATAATTATTCTACATCATAAAAATATTTTATAACTAATTAAAATTTCAAACGAATGAACCACGGTGAAAGGTATCAAAATTCACAAATGTTGTTTAAATTTTAATAAAATGTGATTTACTTCAACATATGTCTTGTTTTTTTCACGATATTTGTTGAAATAGGCTAAAAATGTTATAAACAAACGCATCCATCATATGTTATTCTATTAAAATTGTACACAAAAAAAAGGATTACGTGAATCATGACTATATTCGATTTATGTCTAAACTTTAAGCCGAAGAATGCATTAGATTAGGGAGACCATGAGAGAAAAACATGGCGAAATATCTTAATTTTCTCATAAGTATATGACTATATACGACATAAATATTTTTTAGATCCGAACTCATACTAATAGTTGGAACATGGGTTGGGTCGGGTTCTACGGGTTGTGTAATCCAAAATCCAAACCCAACCCAAAAGATGCGGGTTGTAAAAAAGAAAACCCTCACCCAACCAAAAACCTTCATTTTAGCGATAAATACGGGTGGGTTGGGTCGGGTTGGACGGGTGGGTCGGTTTGCGGGTGTGTTTGTTCACCCCTACGCCCCTACCTAGGACTGACCTCACACCTGCACTCAGGAGTTACTAGAGAGCAGAAACGCACAGACCAACTGCTGGGACCCCATTGCTATTCAGGATGTCGTCAGAAGGGTTAGTGGCCGCGAAAGTTTTACAAGAACTCCTTTTACTTTATGAATTCCCTATTAGTAGACTCGAGACAAATGCTCGTTTGTGTTGGTTTGCCAATGATTATTTCTATTGAGATTTGGATTTTGGTTATGGATAATTTTCCGTTGTTCTCTTTTTCCAAGAAAAATTATTCTTTATTCTCAAGGGCATTTTGATAAATTTAATTACTGGCCGGTCCAGGGTGTTACAATTATCTTTTGTAAAATAAAAAAACAATCTCCCATTCATGGCTGAGCCGGGAATAGCAACGTCGGCCTCTTGGCGTCAGCATGGCTGAGATCAGCTCCGCTGACATTGACAACGAGAGCATTTCGTCTTCTTCTTCTGATCACCTTCACGCTATTCTATTCTAATATAGCAAGAAGGAACATGGAAGCCTGCAGAAACACTAAAAACAATTGACCCTCGTCTCTTTCCTGGAAATCACTCACCAACTCCTACGAATCCTCTCTATACGAAATGTCAGCTCTGATTCTGAACCCCTACTATAACTATAATATAATATAAAGGAAGCTCTGTTTTTCTGAGCATCCATTTCATTTCTCCACATCTCATCCTTCCGCCCGTAGCAGCAATGGAGCTCTTGAGCAACATAGGCTCAGCAATGGCCGCCCTAATGTTCGGTTGGGCAATGTTCCAGCAGTACTTCCCTTACAACCTCCGCGGATCCCTCGACCGCTACATCCTCAAGCTCACCGCCATCTTCTACCCTTACATCCAAATCACCTTCCCGGAGTTCACCGCCGACCGCCTCAAACGGAGCGAAGCCTACGTCACCATCCAGAACTACCTCACCGCCAATTCCTCTGCCTCCGCCAAGCGCCTGAAAGCCGACGTCGTCAAAGACAGCACCCAGTCCGTCCTCCTCTCCATGGACGATCACGAGGAAGTCGTCGACGTCTTTGACGGCGTTAAAGTTTGGTGGTCCTCCGGCATGACCATAAGCAAATCGCAGTCGCTGTCACTGTACCCTGCCGTCGACCGTCGATACTTCACGCTCACAGTCCACAGGCGCCACCGCGACGCCGTCACCACCGATTACATAGCTCACGTGCTGAAGGAAGGGAAGGCGATTGCGTCCAGGAAAAGGCAGAGGAAGCTCTACACCAACAATCCCAGCAAGGATTGGTCTGGGTGGAAGGCTACCAAGTGGAGCCATATCGTCTTTGAACACCCCGCCTGCTTTGATACTCTGGCTATGGCGGAGCATGCCAAGGAAGGGATTAAGAAGGATCTCATCAAGTTCAGTCAGGGGAAACACTACTACAACAAGATCGGCAAAGCTTGGAAGCGCGGGTGAGTTTTTCGTTTTTAGTTTGATTTTTTTTCTTTTTCTTTTTCTTTCTAGGGTTTCCCCAATTCAGATTCAGAACGGCTCTGTTTTTCCAGGTACCTCCTCTACGGACCCCCAGGAACGGGGAAGTCCACCATGATTGCCGCCATGGCCAATTTCTTGAACTACGACATATACGATCTGGAGCTGACGACGGTGAAGGACAACTCCGAGCTAAGGAAGCTGTTGATTGAGACGACGAGCAAGTCGATAATCGTGATCGAAGACATCGACTGTTCGCTTGACCTCACCGGCCAGCGTAAGGGCAAGAAGAAAGCGGGAAAGAGCGGGGAGGGAGATGGAGATGAAGCAGAGAACGAGAAAGAACCTCTGGCCAAAGCTAAAAAGGACGCGGAGAATGCGGAGGGGAAGAGCGACGACAGCAAGGTCACGTTATCGGGTCTACTGAACTTCATCGACGGGATATGGTCCGCCTGTGCAGGGGAGAGAATCATCGTGTTCACAACGAACTACGTCGACAAGCTGGATCCAGCCTTGATAAGGAGAGGGAGGATGGACAAGCATATAGAGATGTCTTACTGTTCTTTCGAGGCGTTCAAGCTGCTGGCGAGGAACTACTTGGATATTGAGGCACATGAGTTGTTTGCAGACATTGAGGTTCTCCTGGGGGAGACGAAGATGACACCTGCTGATGTTGCAGAGAATTTGATGCCAAAATCGGACGATGAAGATGCAACAGATGTGTGTTTGAAGGAATTGGTTGAAGCACTACAAGCTGCCAAGGAGAAGGATGCAAGGCCGAAGGTGGAAGAAGAAGAAGAAGAAGCGATGGTGAACAAGGCTGATGCAGCACCAGAAGAGAAGTAGAATGGTAGCATTTCTTGTGGGTTTATATTTACATGTGTCAGAGTTACCACCTGTACATACATGAAACAAAAGACAGCAAAAGTGGATGACTTTTAACATAATGTCATCCAACTAGTTTATCTGCTACCGTTCATCCTACAAGAGTCAGTTATGTTCTCCCTTACAGTCCCAGGTTCTCCTTGAAAAGCTTCCAGCTAGCGTTGGACTGAGCTAGTCTCTCCTTAGCTCTCAGCTTGTTCTCACTAGCTTGCTTTCGCTCCAACTGTTTCCCCTTCAGTTCACCTAGTTCCTTGGAAGCCTCTCTGTTGGCCACCTCCATTTCACCTACTGTCAAATTCTTCTCATTAACTAACTTTTCTCTGAGAGCCCCCAACAGTTGGATTTCCGCCTCTACCTTCATCTCCTCCTCCTCTATCCTGGAAACTTCTGACTCAAGGAACTTTAGTTGTTTCTGCCTCTGAACTAGCTTTCCCTCCAGCTCCTTTGTTGCCTGCACAGTGGACTTTTCAACATCGCTTGAGGTTTCAATAATGGACAGAGACCTCGGGATGCTGTCCCTAAACTCTACAAGGCGTGATACTAAGTCCTTAAGCACCATCTTCTTGATCGGATCAGAATTGTGCTCATCAAATTTCAGGACAACTTGCTGAACTTGGTCAAAGGAATTGGCCTTGCTGATAGCCTCGAGTGACATTCCGAAGAACTCGTTCAGTTTTTCTAGTTGTTGCTGGACCAAACCTGACATACGGTCTTCTGCATTTGAACCAGGGTTTCCCTTAACTGAAGCTGTCAATTCCCCACTACTTGTCATAGTTGAAAGTTCTGCTATCAGGTTCTTTGAAGTTAACTTCACAATTGAGGAGCATGGACTTGTGATGGTGCTGGTTCGAGCAACCTGAAGGGAAAGCCATGAGAAGTGGTTTGCTGGTTTGACACGATTGGAGAGACGTTCAGGGAGTTTTACTGTCAATTACCTTGTTTCTGGATAATGGTGGCGTAGATGGATCACCATTAGACTCATTCTCCGACTCAGGCTCAATGACTTCTGGACCACCTGCGGATTTTGATACCTCTGCTTCCTGCAAAAGGGGAGGAGACACATTAGTCAACACATGGTGGGTTTAGGGTCGCTAGAAGGAATCTCGTCATAAGACTTAACCATGGTGACTCGAGCTTTGATCACCAGGGTATCATCCACAAGGAATCCTTTACGATGACTGTGAAGCTCATCGAGACGAATAAAAGATGTGAATCCCCAATCCTCCTCTTGTTCCTTGAAAACATGTTTGGAACCTGCAGAAGGAAGGACACCTTCCCAAAGTTAAACTAATACGCCTCAAGCAATATCAAAAGACTGATTCCAGCAAATACATTACAAAGCGAAATGGGAAAAGGGATGAACAAAGCTTACTCTAACTACAACGGGAATTCAAATTTGCATGTAGCACATCTGTAAACTTTCCAAGAGTTCTCCAAAAATAGAAACAATACATCCCTTTAATCCAAACCGAAACTGGATTCGACAAGACTGGAACCAGCATTCATAAATCTAAGGATCTTCAGTCAAATCCACTCATGGTACTACGAAAGCGAAGGTATTGAAACAAGAAGTCAAGAAGTGAGTGCAAGGGGGAAACTTACAGAACTTTCTGGAGAGGCGGCCATTGACTTGGTTGACAATAGTAATGCTGAACTCCACGTACTTACTCCATCCAGCAGGCATCGTTTCCCAGTCAGCAAAATCCAGATACAGGGAAAGGAAGTCAACTTCATTTCCCTTTGGAAAGCAGAGCACTCTCCTACCCAACCAAACAGCAGTGAACGTACTGAGCATCACATATATCACTGCGAGGGTTAGGTTACATGGGGTGGGGGAAATTTCAAGCGGATAATCAAAAATAAGTACCATCTGTAACCGCCGGCGACAAATGCATCGGAATAGATCTCCTCTTCCAGCTTCGAGAAATTTGCGATTCGCCATGTGAAGTCCTTCGAATCCAGCATTGGATCGCCCGCCTGATTTCTCTTTTTCAATGCTCGCAGTATCCTCTATAGATTCGCCACAAGAGGAGAAATAAAAGGATCGAAATCGAGATTAAGCGAAAGAAAAGCTCGAAACTACTGCATTGCGGCCGGGAAATAGAACTGTGAAACCCAGAGATAGAGGATGAATTGCGGTTCTGAACCTTACCAGGGAAGGTTAAGAGTTAGGACGGATGAGAGTGGCTGAGCTTGAATTGATAAGAGAGCGAGCTGGGATTTCATCAATGGCGGCGAGGGCAAACGCAATCGGGGTCTCTTGCATGGAAGATGAAGGGAAATGAACTGAGCGTGCAATCGCTATGTAGTTCTGTGGTTCCTGCTACAGTGCTCTCAACAAAATTTCCTGACACCTAAGGCCTTGTTTGGCGGTAGGGATGGCAACAAAACCCGAACCCACGGGTACCCACCCGATTCAACCCGGTTAACGCGGGTAAAATTCGTGTTGACGGGTTTTGGGCCGGGTTCGGGTTTAAACCCGCTACACTATTCACCGGGTCGGGTTGGGTTTGGGTTTAGGTAAACCCGTCCCATGGGTACCCGCCCACACACATATAATTATTTTCCCGGTATATTTAATATTCTAAATAATATATCTTCCTTAAATAACTAATATTCTATATGTTTGTGGAGACATATATAATTTGATCTTTCTAATTGTTTAGAATGAAGTTGATATTATGAAGTGGAGAGTGAAGAAACTTAGCTGACGAGGAAGAAGCTTTCAATTAATCATATTGTTTATATATGTTTATCTTTAATTTTGAACAATTTGTATTGATCATTTGCGGTTTGCTTGTATGCTCTACATTGGTATTTTTTTGTATGATTAATTTGTATGAGAAAATTGATGTTAAACTTTTATTTTGAAAGAAACTTGTTATTGTAAATTTTTACCACAAAAACCCACGGGTACCCATGAACCCGCGGATACTCAGCGGGTTGGGTTGGGTTTGAGTTTTTCAAACCCAACGAGTTTTACCCCGGGTTTTTTTGGCGGATAAACCCATGGATTTGGGTTTGACAAAACCCGCCCCAACCCGACCCATTGCCATCCCTATTTGGCAGCCCAATTTTCTTAAGGTTAATAGTTAATACCACTACAAAACAAGAACTACAAAAAAAAAAGTTACTTATGTCCCGACCAAAACCAAAACTCGAACCAGGTTCAACCGGTTAGCATGTCATCGGCATGACAATCATGGTCCCGAACTATTCAATATTTCATTTCGGCTTAATTGCAAGTTTGGTCACTAGAATTGCTTAAAAATTTCACATTTGCCACTAGAATTACTTTATTCCATCCGTAGTCACTTAAATTAGTTCATCAGTTCAAGTTTGGTCACTCTCCGTTAGTCTCCGTTAATTTTGACTGACGTGGCAGTCAACTCTGAGAGTTGACCGTTAAATAAGTGACGTGGCAATTAAAAAATTAAAAATTCAATATTTTAAAAGTGCCACCTCATTATGACAATAAAAAAAATACATAAAAAATATCATTATAATTACAAATTATAATTCAACCTGATTTTTTCCTAATCGTTGCGGAAGTGGAAATCGGCGGCAATTAGTTCAAGGAGAAGCAAAGCCAAAATGGAACGTTTTGTTTCACCAAGTCGAGATCCAGGGGATGAGATAAGCAATTTGGAAGAAGAAAATTTGATTGGCTCTGGAGGTGCAGGGAAAGTCTACCGCTTGGAATTGAATTAGAAGGGAATCACAGTTGTCGTGAAGAAGCTATGGAAGGGAGATGGGTTGAAGTTTTCCGCGACCGAAATGGAGATCTTGGGGACGATTCTGGGTTCTGCTCTGGCGAGTGCATGGTCCTCTGTTTATGCTGCAGCGAAACAGGGGAGCTCTATTTTTGCCGGGAGCAACTGGGCGGCGTCGGCGGCGATGGTGAATGGAAATTCGATCGGGAAATCGGGTTTGAGAAAACAGGTTTTGGCAATTTGGAACATGATTCATTGGTAATTTCTGTGGTAGTGAGGTAATAGTAGTAGTCAGGCGTCGCCAGCAATAGTAGCTGGGGGTACTTACGATGACGGTGGGAAGATTGGCGGATTTCATTACGGTGCTGGTGGGATGGAATTTCCTAAGAGTCGACAGATTCGAATTCCTCGAGGAACGCGGTGCTGAACCTGATCAAGAGGATGAAGCTGGACATATTCGTGCAGATCGTGATCAACGGCGCGCACAATGCGCCCTTCTTCGTGACGCGGTTCAGGGAGGCGATGTTCCACTTCTCGTCGCTGTTCGACATTTTCGAGTGCACGCTGGGGCGGGAGGACCTGGAGCTGATGAACGCGGTGGCGGCGGAAGGCGCGGAGAGGGTGGAGCGGCCGGAGACGTACATTTAGTTTACTTTTTAATTTTTGTATGAGTGGTCATAATCCGGTGGAAAATTAAAAATATTAAATTTTATTATTTATTATTTTTTAATTGCCACGTCACACGTCTAACAGTCAATTCTCAGAGTTGACTGCCACGTCAGTCAAAGTTAACGGAGACTAACAGAGAGTGACCAAACTTGAACTGATGAACTAATTTAAGTGACTACGGATGGAATAAAGTAATTCTAGTGGCAAATATAAAAATTTTAAGCAATTTCAGTGACCAAACTTGCAATTAAGCCATTTCATTTCTGTCCAGAACTATTATTTCATTAGTATTAATCACTGTTGACTATTAGTATTTAACATAAAATCTAGTCACCGTTGACGTGATATTTTAATTCAAAATTGTATATTACAATTATATTCAATTTAAAAATGAATAAAAATAGAAACGATTCAGCTTTTACGATTTGAAGCTTCTCTGGAATGACAAACAAATGAAACAATGACGGTGAGTTGGGATTCATATTGGATTTTCCAGGCAGTTACGGGTGACTAAGCAGAGCAAGATCGAACAAGGGGAAAAATAAAGAAACAAAAAAAATTAGGGGAGGGGACAGATTTGGGCAGAGCTCGGGAGAGAAAGGAGAAGCAGATCGAGCCTTCTTCCTCTCATGAATGCAAATGAGGATTTGGAGTTGCTTGTTGGGGCAGATTTGGTTCGATAGACAAGCAGTTGGCGAATAGAATCCGACCTCCACTTCCTCCTCTGCTCCACCGATGGAGGTAAAATCTAGGATGAATAATTCCCACTCCTCGTAGCGCCCACCTCTCCTTCCCAATCAGATCCGGCCGATGGCAGTGGATGAATCTCTACCGCTCCGTTTGGCAACGAGGGGGTGCAAATTTGAGGAGGGTGCAAATTGAGGTGCAAATGGTTGGGGGAGCAAATTGTAGTAGGGTGCAAATTGGAGCGTAAATTCATGTTTGGGAGAAAAAGTAAGGGGTGTAAATAAGAATGTGAGATATATTATATTAATTATAATATTCTATTAAAAATTAATTTTAATATTTTAAAAACTAAATTCCTTTTCTTTATAATTTCCCTTCTCCCTCACGTGGGTGCCAACCCATCATACCTTCTCTCTCCCTTTCTCTCCCCATAGGGTCTTGTCCTTGGCTTAAAAAAAGAAAAGAAAAAGTCCACTTTACAAACCCCTGCTCCTATTCAAAAACATCCAAACGGGTGCATCTTCCTCGATAAAACCATTTGCACCCCAAAATTTGCTCCCCCAGCTTTTGCTCCTCTTCCCAAACGGAGCGTACAGGTTGATCGAGTCAGAAGTAAGTGAGGGAGGAGGAGGAGCTTAAGGATAAGCATCTGACGGAGGATGCGCGGGATTGGAAGACGTTGGAGCTGGATATGCATGTTAGAATGTAGTATAAGATCCAGCAGAACCTTCTCCCAACAACTCGAGTTATTAGGAGCAACTGGTTTGTGACATGGTATCAGAGCCTCGAACCAAAAGGTCATGTGTTCGAATCTCCATGACCCCCAATATTAACTGTTGTCTTTCAAGCACATGGTATGGTGGGCCTGTGCAAACTTCAAGCCCATGAGTTGGCTTTCGTTTGAGGGGGCGTGTTACTGGTTTTTGACAATGCAGACGGCGGAGGGAAGCCATAAGGTGGAGAGTACAGAGAAGATGGAGATATGGAGAGTTGCACGGTGATTGGGAAATTTTTTGAGAGAGAGAAAGACGAATTGGTAGAGAAGAACTGAATATTTTTTTAATTTTGGATTATTAATATTGTTGAGTTTACATTTTTTTCATTTTATTTAATTTTTAATTAAAAATATGATGTGTCAATTATGTGGCACCTATGTGGTTGCCACGTCATCAAATTAAACCAGTGTCTACTCAACCGTTATTAGGGATGGCAATGGGTCGGGTTGGGGCGGGTTTTGTCAAACCCAAACCCAAACTAATGGGTTTATCCGCCAAAAAAACCCGGGGTAAAACCCTTTGGGTTTGAAAAACTCAAACCCAACCCAACCCGCTGGGTATCCGCGGGTTCATGGGTACCCGTGGGTTTTTCTAGTAAAAAATTTACAATAACAAGTTTCTTTCAAAATAAAAGTTTTAACATCAATTTTCTCATACAAATTAATCATACAAAAAACACCAATCTAGAGCATACAAGCAAACCGCAAATAATCAATACAAATTGTTCAAAATTAAAGATAAACATCTATAAACAATAAGATTAATTGAAAGCTTATTCCTCGTCAACTAAGTTTCTTCACAGTTCGCTTCATAATATCAACTTCATTCTAAACAATTAGAAAGAACAAATTATACATGTCTCCACAAACATAAAGAATATTAGTTGTTTAATGAAGATATATTATTTAAAATATTAAATATACCGGGAAAATAATTATATGTGTATGGGCGGGTACCCATGGGGCGGGTTTACCTAAACCCAAACCCAACCCGACCGGGTAAATAGTGTAGCGGGTTTAAACCCGAACCCGGCCCAAAACCCATCAACACGGGTTTTACCCGCGTTGACCGGGTTGGGTCAGGTGGGCGCCCGTGGGTTCGGATTTTGTTCCCATCCCTAACCGTTATCTAGCAATTGAACCTATGACTAACATCGATTAAACCAGGTTGCAATAGTCAACATTCAACCCGCTCAACAACCACGACAATAACACTCAAATCATGGTCCCGCCCATGAGATAAAGTAACACCAAATGTCAATGTCAAGTAGGGATGGCAACGAGTCAAGGTTGGGGCGGGTACCCCTAAACTCGTTCGCTGCCCTACAATCTAAGTCATCGCCCCATGTCCCGCGGCACGTCGTTGTTTCTTACCCATGTTGTGCCCCGCACGGAGCGGATTTTACCCGCCCTGCCTCCATTTTCAGTTCAACCTGAAATATCATTGTCACGCAACATATACCCACCTCCCCCTCCATTTTTTTTTATCACTAACCTATAATTTTACAACATTATTCTTCATTCATCATATTGCAGCAGCCTGTATAACAAATTAGTCATAAGGAAACTTCAACTACTAAATAATATCCCAAACTCATAAAATGTTGGAAGCATTAAGCATATCAACTGCAGAATCTGAAAACTCAAAATATCATGCAGCACAACAGCAGGCAGCAAGCCTTCCTCTAGTCTCTAGAACAACAAACATCTCCTCTCAAACCTCCCCCTAACTTTGAGTACTATTAAGCTTGTAGTGTAAGACAACAGTTGCCAGCAAGCTAAAATTGTCATGCATACAACAACCAGCAAGCTGAAAATTGACAACATCATCATTCACTATAGGTCTCTAATATCATAATTTATCATTCATCAGGCCCCACAGTACTATAACCTCGTGGAATAGGGGTGGGCATCCGGTTCGGTAAACCCAAACCGAATCTAATTAAACCGAACTAAAACCGAAATAAAATTGTTCGGTTCATATTTTGGAAGGCAAATAGGTATATTTCGAAAATCAGAGTCCTCTCAACCGAACCCGATTTTTGATCACGGGACAAAAAATCGAATTAATGACCTAACCTACATATCAAACCTCACCTCACCCTCACCCAAACTAACACCCCCTTACTCTTCAGCCCTTCCCATCTCCTCACACTCTCGGCCCGAACCTCTTATCCATTGGCCCTCACAAGTTCGCCCACCCCAATCCCCATTACTCTCTCACTCTCGACTAACCCTAAACAAATAAACAAAGAGAGAAGCAGTGGGAGTGGGGATAGACGGATAGTACCGCTCAACATCTCCGATGCTCCAAAGTTCGATCCCACCACCGCCCGCCCCTTCTCGCTGCCGTCCATCGCCCTCTTATCCCTTTGCCCACTCCACCAAACACTCCACCCCTATGTCCACCGCCCACCTCCATGTCACCATCACCTTTCTTCCTTTCTTCTCCTCGAAGCTAGAGATGGAGAGATCTCTACTGCCGGAAGTCCCTAGAAATCATATCACCCTTAGAAACTAGCAACATTCAAATATAAGCATCATTTTTTTTATAATTACCTTGGGAACTAGCACGTAGCCAGCTTTGAGCACACATCAACCAATTCTATAGTTTCTGGACTCAGCCCACTTTGATGAGAAAATATCACCCTTAAACTAGTACCAAAAGCATACTCGGAGGCCACACTAGAGACAGGAATAGTCAAAACATCCCTTGCAACCTCATGCAATATATTATGTTTATGTCTATTACCCTTCCACCAACACAAAACATCAAAATCAGTTGTGTCGGATATGACTTCATCTTCCAAGTAAGAGTCCAGCTCTGACCTAGTATGTTTCCTTTTCCTTCTAGAAGCATATAGCGCAAATTTGTTTGTTGTTTCCCTGTGATTTGCAGCATCTCCTAAATTGCTTACTTGAACCCCATCATTTATGTTTTCTTGCGCTAACCACTTACCCTAAACAACTAAATTAATAATGTTGAAAGTATATATGCTAACCTCAGCCTTAAACAACTAAACCATACTTAGATAGTCATATTTTAAGTCATTGTTTAGAATGGATCGGGAAATCGATCATGCAAGAAAGTAAAGAAAACACAAATTTACTTGGTTTGTTAATAAGATTTAATAACGAGACCCCCTTGACTTCCAATCAACGATAACTAATCCAACTTCAAATCATAGCAACAGTCCATTTTAAAAAAGTCATAACAATAGTTCATTTAGAAAAGCAAAGTGAGAGCAACAACTACAATATGTGATGATGTGTGTAGTGTAACACAAAGACAATAATAAATCGCCTATGTGGATATTGTATTATTAATTCATATAATTAAAGAGTAACTTGTATTTAATCAATCTATAATTTATTTATTTATATTATAAGTTATATGCAACAACTATTTGGCCACGCCCGATACAAAATTTCAAGCCACATTAAATTGAGATATATGTAGTCCAAGCGTCTAACCAACCTATGAGTTAAATGACTAGCAGTAGGCCAAAATAGGAGC